TATTTGAAACTATCTAAGAAGTTCTCATTTATTAAGCATTGACTATGAGCTGGTCATGTGTTAAGTGTCTCAGAGGCATAGTCTTGCTTAATGCTCACTACACCGAATGAGTAGGATTCTGTTGTTATCCCTGTTTTGCAGTGTAGAAGGGGGAAATATTTTTCCTCCACCTTCTTGGGTTAAGTAACTGGGGCCCTGCAAATTAAACTGACAAAGATAGAAACTAGGAGCTCATGTCAAAAGATTAAAAAAAATAAATAAATAAATAAATAAATAAATAAACTGACAAAGGATCAAAAGGATAAAAGGCAAACATATTTTATTTGATGTTAATAATTTAATTTTATACATGCATATGCAAGTTTCACAGACAAGAGAGTGAAAACCCAAAGGAGTGGTTAGGCTTAAGAGTTTATATACCACTTTAACAAAGGGATACATTTGTGGAGAAGTGATAAGACAAAGGAAAAGGGTTTAGGCTTCTAGGGGTGTAAATTGTGGGAAGGTAAATATATGGTGGGGACTAATGGCAGATAAAGATTATTTCAGTAAGGTTTGCTTATGCAGATTTCAATTGCCCTCATCTCCAGTGATTAGTCATCTCTTTTTCCTGTGAGGACTGAACTCTGATCTTTTTCTTTGCCCAAAAAATTCCTTTCTAAGGAGGCCTGGTGAGTCACACCTACAAGTGACAAAATCTCAGTAAACAGGTTTTTTTATGATGTGGTTTACTTCCCAACCTGATTCCGGTGTAACATCACATAAAAGATAGAGGACCCTTCTCTTAACTCAAGCATTCCTTTCTGCTGATTCCTAGTTTTTTTGAACAAAGCCTAACTACTCTTTCAGCCAATTGTCAACTAAAGAATCCCTAAATCCACCTATGACTTGTAAGCCCCCACTTTGAGACCTCCTACCTTTTTGGGCCAAACCAATGTATGTCTTCCATGTATTGATTTATGACTTTACCGGTTATTCCTGTCTCCATGAATGTATAAAACCAAGCTGAAACCCAGCCACAGTGAGTCCACTTGCTCAAGGCTTCTTGGGTGTGGCTCCAGGCCATGGTCCTCAAATGTGGCTTGGAATAAACCTCCTTAAATTATTTTACTGTGTTTGTCTTCTTTTCCGTTGACACTTGGTGTGAGAGAGGGGAGGAAAGACACCTTCACAAAGGGAAATTTATGCCCTGCCTTTAGGCAGAAAGGGGAGGGTAGAGAGCTTTTCCTGCATCTACTATTTCTCAATTGCCTTCAACTCAAAATAATCCTTATGCCAAAGTGGGATATTTAGGGGTGGCATGCTCTGGCCCCCTAAGAAGCTGAGGACACCGAAACTCAGAAAACAACTTGTCACAGAGCGGGGACATGAACTAGATCTGTTTCGAAGACCAGGAAGATGGGGCTGGGGCAGTAGGCAAGGCAGCCAGGGTCGCGTAGCTCAAAGTTTCTGCTCTCCTCAGTCCTTTAGCCCTTGGGGATGCCCTGCACAGGGTGAGAAGTTGCTTGACCTCTAAGGAGGTGACACTCCAGGAGTGAGAAAGAACCAGGAGGATGAGGATCCGTGAGTCAAAGCAGGAAACTTCCATCAGTGGCCTGAGAGTCAGGATCAGAGGGGTCGGAGATCAGAAGGAGTCAACATCAAAAGTGGGGAATAAGACCCAGGTTTTATGCCTTTAAACAAGGTGGTGGGGAGAGGGGAGAAGGCAGGGAGGAAGAGGAAACCGAGAGATAAGGGTATAAAGAGATTTATTGTGAGGAATTGGATTATGTGGTTGTGGGGGCTGGCTGGGCAAATCCAAAATCCACAGGGCAGGTTGTGAGGAAGGGCAGGCTGGAAACTTTTGGCCAGGATGGCACCTGTTGTCCACAGGTGGAATTTATTCTTCTTTAGGGGAGCCTCCGTTCTGCTCGTAATGCCCTTCGACTGCCTGCATCAGACCCACCCAGATTATTGAGGACAATCTTTTTTACTTAAAACCAACTGATTGCAGATGTTACTCACACCTTCAAAATGTCTTCACAGTAACACCTATGTCAGTGTTGATCGAATAGCTGCATGCTATAGGTTAGCCAGGTTGACCCATAAAAGTGGCCATCACAATGCTCAATAGACATTTGCTTGAATTAATAAATAATAATAAGCAGTTAATATATGCCAGACACTGTTCTAAGAACTCTCCATTAATTTGTTTACCCTTTCCAACAGACATATGAAGTCACTACTATTACTTCTGTAAGGCATTGGTGCTGCTTATCAATCAGTATTTCTTCTCTTTTCTGCAGGCATATGGTAGATTTTTGCTTTGCTGTACCCTTCACATTTGGTATAGCCATGTAACTTGGTTTGATCAATGAATTATGTATAGGAGTGATGGGTATCACTTACAGGTAAAAACATTTAAGAGCCAATTTATCTTCCTTTTCTTCTTTTCACTTTGACCAGCAATGTTCAGATGGTGGAACCTCTTATCAGCTTTGGTCTATTGGAGTGGGCATTGTGAGCTGAGCCCTAGCTGACCACGTTGAACACACAGTATTCAACTATGAACTATGTTCAAATGTTTTAAGCTAGTGATATTTGGGGGTTGTTTGTTCCCACTATATAACCAAATCTGTCCTGATTATCCCATTTTATGGATGAGGAAACTGAGGCACGGAGAGGTTAAGTAACTTGTCAAGTTACACAACTAGTAAATGGTGGAGCCAGGATTCAAACTCTTCTATCTGTTATACTAGTCCTTGCTGTCTAGAATCTTAGAATGACTCAGGTTTCCGTCTCTTCTAAGGCCTAGTTCTTTAACTTCCCCATGTCTGCATCAGTGGTTCTCAGTTGGGAGTGACTCTCCTGCCTCCCCCACCTTCAGGAGACAGTTGGCAATGTTGGGAGACATTTTTGGTTGTCACAACTTGGTGGGGGAGGGGAGTTGTGCTACTGGCATCTGGTAGGTAGAAGCTAGAAACGCTGCTAAACATCTTTCCATGCACGGGACAGACCCCCACAACAAAGAATTATCCAGCTCCAAATGCCGACAGTGCTGCTGTTGAGAAGCTCCGACTTAACGCTCAATCCCTCTGTTGCTGAAGTTAGCCACAGTGGCTTTCTTTTGCTTGCAACCAGACACTGAGTTGGGTTATTATGAGTTAGTTAATTGATTAATTGAGAACGGTGGGGTGTCAGTGCTGGGACTGGTCTTATTTGACATTTGCCTAACTGATCTGGAGGTGTAAGTGGTGATAGCTCCACATTTGCTGATGACACTTGGCTGTGCCAGGTAGTGAAATGCCAAGCCGCTGGTGACAAGCCGCAGGAAGATCTCACCAGGCTGTGTGAGTGGGCAGAGGAGTTGCCAAGGATGAGCTTCAGTGTGGGCAAGTGCAAGGTGCCGCGCTTGGCAAAAAATAATCCAAGCTATACATAGAGGTTGGAAGAGGATGGAACAGGATAGAAGAAAATGAATAAAAATGTAAAGGACTCCAGAGAAGTGATTCCCAAGCTTACCTGATTATAAGACTCACCTAAGCGTGAGCTAACAATACAGGTGCCCAGGCCTTTTGCCCTGGAGGTGCTGGGTCAGGAATCTGGGCACTGATACTTGGGCCTGCTTTTAATTTTCGGCAGGAATACAGAGTTAGTTTTTCCAGATTTCCTGATTTTTCAAGAGAAGACGTAAATCCTGGCTTTTATGTGAAAAGTTCCCATTTCCCCCCCTTTTCTTGTAACCTTAAGTTTTTGTTTTTTTTTTTTTTTTTTTGAGACAGAGTCTCACTTTGTTGTCCAGGCTAGAGTGAGTGCCGTGGCGTCAGCCCAGCTCACAGCAACCTCAAACTCCTGGGCTCAAGCAATCCTGCTGTCTCAGCCTCCCGGGTAGCTGGGACTACAGGCATGCGCCACTATGCCCGGCTAATTTTTTATATATATATATCAGTTGGCCAATTAATTTCTTTCTGTTTATAGTAGAGACGGGGTCTCGCTCTTGCTCAGGCTGGTTTTGAACTCCTGACCTTGAGCAATCCGCCCGCCTCGGCCTCCCAAGAGCTAGGATTACAGGCGTGAGCCACAGCGCCCGGCCCTGACCTTAAGTTTTGATATAATTTCAATCTATAAGAAAAATTGTATGAATGTTTATAAACAGCTCTGTATAGCCTTCACCTAGATTCACCAATTGTCAACATTTTGCCCCATTTGCTGTATCATTTTAAGTTCCTAAATTTTATAAACATCCTATGGATCAAGCTAAACAAGAGGGTGAAATGGAATTTAGTCCTTAAACTATTAGTTGGTAACTTCTGGAGCCCAGACCAATTCAATAGAAATTTCTGGAATAGAGACTGGACATTTGTATTTTGAAAAATTTTCCCTCCAGGTGAGTCTAATGTGCAGGTAGGGCTGAGAGCCACTGGTCTTGGTCCCCTATGGTAATTTATTCCCCTTACTGATGACTGGCTTGGGAGTGGACACATGACTCAATGCTGTGTAGCAAGAATAAAGAGAGAGTCTACTGGTGTGCTTCTGAGATCACTTCCTTCACTTTTAAAGACACATGGGAAAGAGGCAGCCCCTTTCTGCTGGATGTTGTATCTGGATGTGATGGGACACAGGCCAAAGAATGAAGTGTGGAAAAATGCAAAGACTTTGGATTCCTACATTTATCTTTGAGCTGCCAAAGTAACTAACCTCATGGCCACTTTACCTTGAGATTTCTTTTTATGGAAGATACGTTTTTCTCATTTAAGTTGCATGGCAGACATGACTAGTTACCTGCCAAAGACCTGTGCACACCTTATATAATATAGAGTTATTACTTGGAAGCAACTCTCCAGCCATGGATGGCATTTTTGGCATCCCTTCCCCTGGAATCTAGACAGTACTGTGTGATTCATTCTCACCAACCCGATGCAACATAAAGTGGGTTACTTCGGGGCTAGGGTGATTAAGTTTAGGTGCATGATCCTTCCCCTTTTCACCACTGTTCCTTCCCTCTTCCTCCCATCTACCAGGCGAATGACACTGGGACAACCTTGAAGCCACAAGGTGGCAGAACTGCAAGACAGAAGCAGCTTGGGGCCCTGAGTCACTGCTTGCAGCAGAGCTACACAGCAGTGCCACCCAACCAGGAATACTTGCGTTGAGCAAGAAATAAAGGTTTATTGTGTCAAGCACCTGAGATTTGGGGATTTATTTATGACAGATAGCCTAGGCTACCAGACTAATATGAGCTAATTAAGTTGGAGTTAGGTGTTACTTGCAGCCAAAAGCATCTTGCCTAAAGCATCAGAGAAGAATCCATTAAGTACAGATCACCATCTCAAAACTCGTTTTATTTGTCTTTATTCACAAAAAAGCAGCTAGCATAACAGCAATTCAATCTAACATCCAGGAGTTGCTTGCTTTCAACCTGATGACTTACTTGGCTTTGCTGTTGCCTTTAGGGTGGCTTTGATTTTAGACTCATGATTTATTAAATTCTCGGATGCTGCCACTTGGTTTCTGGTTCCCAGTTCTCTCTCGGTCTTAGCTCTTTCTGAACTGAACTTGCGTGGAGCTTCTGTTCAATAAACATCCTGACTAAATACCTAGAAGTAGCACGGCTGTCCCACTCCTACTGTCTGTAAGAGGGACTCTCAGCTGACCCTCTATGGCTGAGTGTTCCCCAGTTCTAGAAGTGTCTTCAGGCACAGTTTCTAGTCAGCGTTTATTTGGTAACTAGGAACAGAAACTCACTCAGCCTTGCTCAAGGAAAGGGAGGATTGTTGAAGGAATGCAGATAAATTGTCTCGGGGATCTGAGAACGGCAACTTAGATACACCTGGGCCTTGAGGAAACGGGACAGGGAAGCTATTAGAAAACAAGGAAGCCACTCTCTTCCTCTCCCTTGTGATGTTTGTGCTTTCCTCTGAACAGCTCCAAATGCATTCTCCTTCCTTCCTTCCTTCCTTCCTTCCTTCCTTCCTTCCTTCCTTCCTTCCTTCCTTCCTTCCTTCCTTCCTTCCTTCCGGTATTTGAGCACTCACCAGGTGAATAGCTCCATATCAGGCATGGAGGATACACTCAAAGACTTATTTTCTTGGGGGGAAACCTATAAAAAACAAGTGAAGAAATCCACAAAAATAAAATATTATAAACTTTTGCACTATTAAGGGAATAAGTATGGACTCTAATAAAGAATAACAGGTGATCTATCTATTTCACAGAGCTAGCTAAGGAAGTCCTCTCTGAGGAGGTGATGCATCAGCTCAGACTTGATTGGTGACAAGGGGCCAGCCATATAAAGAGTGAGAAGATATTTTAAGCAGTGGGAATGGCAGGTGCAAAGGCCCTGGGACAGAAATGTTTGGCTTGACCAAGGAACTGAAAAGGAAGGACAGCCTCACTGGAGTGCAGGTATCGAGATGAAAGTAGCAGGGAATAATATTGAATAGGTCAGCATGCCTTAGATAATGCAAGCCCCTGGAGATGCTAGCAAAAGTTTGGATTTTATTTAAGTACAATGTGAAGCCTTTGCAGGGTGTTCCTCTCTTTACTGAATCATTTAAAAATAATATCAGCTTGCATTTGACCCACTGCTGCTGCCCTAGCCCCATGGCTGGCTCCCTCATATCCTTTCGGCACTAGTACCTATAGCCAGCTAGTGATTGCCTTCTGTGTCTCTTACTTACAAATCCCAGTAGAGGCCAGGCATGGTGGCTTATGCCTATAATCCTAGCACTCTGGGAGGCTGAGGTGGGAGGATCATGAGATCAGTAGCTCAAGACCAGCATGAGCAAGAGTGAGAGCCTGTCTCTAGTAAAAACAGAAAAATTAGCCAGGCATTGTGGCATGAGCCTGTAGTACCCACTACTTGGGAGGCTGAGGCAGAAGGATGGCTTAAGCCCAGGAGTTTGAGGTTGCAGTGAGCTACAATGATGCCACTGCACTCTTCCCAGGGTGACAGAGTGAGGCTCTGTCTAAAAAAAAAATCCCAGTAGAGATATCTAATTGGGACAGCTGACCTTTTGGAGCCCTGGCACGAATCCTAGCCACTGGCCACCCTATGAATGGATTGGCTCTCCTTATATCATGTGTGATCTTATGATTTAATCAGCTGTGACTGGGGCAGAATCATGGTCATATTTACCTACACGAGGGTCTGTGGACAAAGCAGGCAATGATACAAGCCCTTAAAGAACTATTTCCAGAGGTGAGATTTAGGAAATGAGTATTTCACTGTGTGCCTAACTTACTAAACTTCTGAAAATATGTATTAGGTTGTGTCCAATATCCCTAATTAAAAACTGTTAGGTGGCTTCTAAATGCACTTAGGGTCACAATCCCAAATCATTAACATGCCTGTAATGCCGCATCCTCTGGACCCAGCGCTGTCCTCTGCCCTCATCTGATGCTACTCTTCTCAGCCTTTTGGTCTGATCCTAAATGTCACTTCCACTTCCTTGACCCCCCAGCAAAATTAGAGATCCCTGTTTATATTGCTCTGTATTTTTTTGCTTTATATTTCCCCTTCATGGCATAGAGCATAACTTTAAATGATGTTGATTTGTGTGCTCACTTGTTTAATGTTTGTCTCCCCCACTAGACTGAGAGTTCTATGAGGACAGTAGTCATGTCTGTTGGGATTATAGCTGCTTCTGGCTGTCTTAATCTGTTTTGTGTTGCTGTAAAGGAATACCTGAAGCTGGGTGATTGTAATGAAAAGAGGTTTATTTGGCTCACAATTCTGCTGTCTGGAAGATTGGGCATCTGGTGACAGCCCCAGGCTGCTTCCACTCAGGGGGGAAGGCAAAGGGGACCAATGTGTGCAGCGATCACACGGTGAGAAAGGAGGCAAGAGAGAGGGCAGGTGCCAGCCTCTTTTTTAACAACTACCTGTCCTGGAAACTAGTAGAACTAATAGAGCTCCCTCCCTCCCTCCACCCTACCAAGGAGGGCATTAATCTATTCATGAAGGATCTGCCCTGACAACCTAAACACCTCTCATTTGGTCCCACTTACAACATTGAGGATCAAATTTCAACATGAGGTTTGGAGGGGACGGACACCCAATCAACAGCACGGGCACACAGTAAGGGCTTAATAATAAGTGTTAAATGAATGAATGCCAAGAAGTGAGAGATTGGATTGCCTGAGTAGTCACTAAAGACCTCATGGAAAGCTTGAGGGTTGATCTTGGCCTTAAAGGATGAGTAGGATTGGAGGAGGACAAGAGAAAACATTTCAGACAGGGAGAACATTTATCAGCAAAGGCAGAGAATTGGGAATACGTGTGGATATAGCCAGGGAACAGTGTGACTACCGACATGATTAGAGCAGAGGTGTATGCTGACAAGATCTGGAAAATAAGATTGTCTAGGTAGAAAAGGGCCCAAATGGAAAAAAAAATCTAAATCTGAGAACTACATTAAATAATAGTAGCTAAAATTCCTATGGTGCTTATTATGTTTCAAATTCTTTTCCAAGTGCTTCATGAATATAAGCTCATTTAATCCTCACAACAAGCCTATGGAGTGAGTACTACTTTTGCGTCCATTTTACATATGTGGAAGCTGAGATACAGGAAGATTATCTTGTTGAAGGTCTGTGGTTGAGGAATGCAGAGCTGGGATTCTAAATCTGGACAGATACAGCTGCAGAGTTCATGTGGTTGAATGCCAAGCTGCCTCTCTCCTCTCGAAAAGTAGAGACGTAACTTGGCAAAAGATCAGCTTCAGGAGCTGCACGTTAAAACAGCTTGAAAGAGAGACCGAAGCATTCTGGTCTTGTGATCGGTGGAAGGACCACTCGTTTCTGGTCTAGAAATGAGTGAGCTGAAAAAAGGAAACTGCAGTTTTGGGGAAGAAGGAGATGGAAAACTCAGTGATGGTGCAAGAGATTAGAGAAGTGTGACCAGGAGAGCTTGGCGAGTGGCTGTGCGTAGGCCTTGGAGTCAGGCAGGCATGGGTCTGTGTGTCTGCTTTGCTGTCTGCTTGCAAGTTTCAGCATCTAGCCCATGGGTTTAACAACAATACCAACCACAAAATCAGGATTAAACGAGACAAAATAAGTGACGCTCATGGCACAGTGCTTGACACACAGGGTGGTGGCTGAGTGAATGTGAAGGCTCTCTGCAGGGATTTGGACGGCAAGGACTGGCCAGAATCCTGGCTGCTACCTGGAAGTGATAATATTAATATTTATTTGATGCCAGCCAGCTGGGCACTGCTGAGCAGTCGTGAAGCAAGAGTACCCTGAGGCTTGCTGTGTCCCAGAGCTCTGCAGGGCTGGTGCAGGGGCCCTTTCCAGGGCTCAAGTGCCCATTTCTCTTCCTCCAGCTCCCTGGCCTTTGCAGAAGAGCTTCATCCTTGGCCTCCAGGGCAGGCACCCAGCTAGTTAAGACCCTGGGACCTTTCTCTTCACCCTGGATCAACTCCCCAGATGCCCTGTTTTTGACAAACTCCCAGTTCCCGGGGTATCTGGATGTTGCCTCTTCCTGTTCACAGTGTTCATCACCTATTTGTTCCAGCTCTCAGATCTGTCCCTCTCCAAGGGTGACAGGAGCCACTTTTCCCCCAAGAGTGGGAGGAGATGATGTGATAGGATGCACGGTCACAGTGCCATAAAGCATCGAATGACACAGTGAGAAAGGTATTCCCTTTGGGGTTCGCCTCTGGTCCTTCTGATGAAGCCAAGGGAAGCATCTTCTTTTGGTGCTAGAATATCTTTTAACACCTCTCTAACACTTCCATTATATCCTTTTGTCAAAGAGCTGGCAGCTAGCCTTCAGCTTGGGACAAGTGACAGCGAGAAAGCAGCACAATTATTTTGTTTTTATTGTATTTATTTTCTCAGTTACCTTTTGCTCATGGCAAGGAATTCCAGCTTTCCTTTTCCAGTAGTGACATAAATTTCCCTTTCAAAATCTACTTATTGAAGGAAAAAATTTAAAGAAAAACATTAGGTAAATAATCATTTATGTGGTATGTGGATATGAACAACTTCCCAAGAGTGGTACCGAGAGGACTGAGATTTGGAAAACGCTGGAACACTGGGGAAGCCATCCGATGTAGGAAGCAGAGGCTTGGATCTGAACGCAAGCTTTGCTCATTAGCACCCAAGACGCTTACTCTCTTTGAGCCTCTCTTCCCTCATCTGCCAAAATGGAGACGATAGTTCCTACTACACATGGTTGTTTTGAAGATTAAATGATATAATCTGATGCATGTGAGTGTCATTTGCATGCAGTGACTCTTAAGTGTTGAATGGAATGAATCGTTCCTAGTGCACGTTTGATAATAAAATTCACTGCGTGAGTGGGAGCAAGTTACTGGTTTCCCAAGACTCCTGTCCCATCGTGGGGATAAAATCTGGGTAAGTCACGTAACCTCTCTTTTCGCAGTTTCCTCATTGATAAGATGGGGAGATCAATAGTATCTTATTCGTGGGTTTACTGGGAGGGTGAAATGATTTCCAGCATGTGTGGCACTCCTGGCATCAGCCTGGCACCCTGCAGTGTTAGGTAAGTGTGAGTTCTTAGGACCATAATCCTGCCTCCTAGAATGCTGGAGCCCTAAGCAGGAAGGCTCCCTGGAAGTGTGAAGTCCTGGGTGTTTGCCATAAATACTCGAGGAAGTCACTGCTGGTAGAGATGATGTATTTCTCATACTTTCTAAATAAAATATTCAAAATATTCAAATGTCCTTCCACTCTCTCTTCCCAGAGCCCTCAGAGCCTATGCAAAGTATACTCTCTTGCTCCCTCCATATAAAATAACTTTCCTTTGGTTTTTGTCTTCCTGCAGTAATGTTTGCTGGAGACTGAATTGTGGCCACACCCTCTCCCCTTCCCTCAACCAAAATTTGTATGTTGAAGCCCTAACCTCCAGTGGGATGGTATTTGGAGATGGGGCCTTTTGGAGGTAATTAAGGTTAGCTGAGGTCATGAGGGTGGAACCCTTGTAATGGGATTGGGGCTTTACAAAAGGAGGAAGAGAGAGAGATTGCCTGTTTTCATCATGGGAGGACACAGCAAGAAGGCTGCTGTCTACAAGTCAGAAAGAGAGCCCTCCCCAGGAACTGAATCTGCTGACACCTTGATCTTGGACTCCCCAGCCTCCAGAACTATGAGAAATAAGTGTCTGTTGTTTAAGCTAGCAGTCTATGACATTTTGTTATAACATCACAAGCAGACTGATACAATGATAACTCTGCCTTGAATCCATCCAAAAAATTAAAAAAATATATTATTTACAATGTGCTAATCATTTTACATATGATATTTTATTTAAACCTCACAACTCTACGAAGGGGAGCATTATTATCATGTTCCATTTTGCAGAGGAGAAGACTGAGGCTTGCAGCTTGGGCGACCTGCCCAAGGCTCTAGGGATCCTCTGGGCCAGAGTTAGATCTTGAACACCAGTGTTCACACGCCCACCCCCAGGTAGCCTCCGGGGATTCAAGTGGGGAAACACTCTGACTCTGGCATTTGTGGGGAACATCTTACTGGCTTCAACAGGTGAAGAGGGATCGCCCTTAGTGGCTGGAGTGCAGATGAGCAGAGCCCAGCTTCCAAGATGGAGAGAGGAGCCAGTTGAGTGGCAGGGGAGTGAGTTTGTGTAGGAAATACCCAGAAGAAACAAAACTCCCGCAGCTCAGTGGGTTACGACAAGGCAAAACCTTTAATAACATGAGTGCTTATTACATTAGCTGCT